TCTCTTTATATACAGAAGATCAGTTTAGCATATATTAAGTAAAGATTTCAACAGTTTGCACCCACATAGAAACACAAAGTGAAAAATACTGTTTGAGTACTAGTAATAGCATTAAATCACAATGTACAGCACATTAAGGACAGAGATCCTAGATGAGGAGTAAGTGCACAGTGACTCCTGTTGTTGACTTAACAAATTGACACTCTTGTTTATGGCATCAGTAATCACCCTAGGCTCTTGTCATGAGTTGCCAAGGCTATGGAAGCCTTTTGAGTTCACCAACTCTGATCATATGTAGACAAGGTTGTAGTCAAAGTGGAAGTTCTCTCCTCCCTTCAGAGAAAGGTACCTCCTTCTTTTATTAAGATTATGATGATCCTTTTCGATTTTACCTGGTGAGTGAGGTATCCAAGAGGCATGGAGATAATGAGACCCCTAAATCTGTAGCTACCTGCTGAATAATTTTAGCCACAAATAAGGGGCGACTGTCATACTGCAGTGGCCCTGGAAGGCCAAAGCAAGTAACTATTTCCTTTAACATGGCTTTGGACACTTCTTGTGCCTATTCTATTTGAATAGGAAAAACTTCTATCCATCTTGTGGAGGTATCTATAAAGATCAGTAGATATTTGTAATTATTTGCTGAAGGCATGTTAGTGGAGTCTATCTGCCAGTCTTCACCTGGATACTTTCTCTCCTTGGAATAGGGTTAGCAAGGAGGGTGGCTTGATATGACCACCAGAGTTCTTTGGGAAACAGATGGTATAGGAACACATTACTTCATTATAACAGCATGCAGTCCTTTCCCTCCAAATATCCAAGAAACTATTTACATCAGGTTTCCTCTCTCCAAATGGGCAAAGTCATACACTTCCTTAATAACTTCCCATTGGGAAGCCCTTGGGAGCATTCCTGGCTTCCCACATCTAAGTCTCTTCTGCCCTGGCAGGATGTCCCCTGGACTGAGTCTGAGCTTGCTACATGTTAGTTTGTAGCTATTGCCATCCTATGAATGTGCTATTTGCACTGTTTTCCATGCTGTAGTATCCTTTTTGCTTCAATCCTATCTCTATTGTCAAACACTCAAAATGCTATTTTTATCAGTTTCCTCATGGAGTTTGAGCTCCCATAGCCAGTTTTTGAAAATGTACCTTAAGGAATAAGTTCATAGGAATGGGCACTGTACTATACACAGCTCAAAAGTCTCTGTAGAACCTGAAAAGACAAAAGTAGACATGGCTCTCTGTGAGCCCAGTTATGCTTAAGCATCCAACTTAAATCCCTTGTGTTAGAGAACTGGCATCCCTGAGTCTCCTTTTTATATCCCAAGATTGCTTTCTCTGTTCCAGGCCAGTTGGTAGCTCTCTTGCAGGTTGATTTAAATCCTGAGTATTTTATCATCACCCAATGCTCCTTAAATTTTCCTAACCACAATACTTAGTATAACTGGCAAACTAGAGGGCACTGACACCACTTAGGTGCTAGTCCACCTAGTGGCAATTATGTATATGTTTGGGACATTTTCCCAGCAACCACCACCACCACAGAGATTTGGACCTCTAGGGGCACTGTACCTCATGCCTGGAGGCTGAGTTCCAGGGTGATAGAAACCAGTATAAAGCTAACACCAGCCATCAGGGTTTTGCTTAAACCCTCCTGAAGCTCCAGTGCCCTGAACATCTTTAGGGGCTTACACTGCCACACCAAGGGTATGCAAACCACAGGGGGACTTTAACCCCATATCTGGAGTCTATATGCCTCAGGGCAGTGCCAGCATCCAAGTATCTGCAGATGCTAGTGCTGGGAAATCTCAGCATTTGTATTTCTCAAAGCTGACCCCTGCAGTGAGGGTGGACTTCACAATGTATCTACTAACAGGTCCCATCTGGCTAACAGAAGTCATGTTCATTTACCAGGAAACAAAACCAGTTGCATTTTAATCTTGCATTCCTCATGGCTACTAGTTGTCCCAGAATAGAGAGCTTGCAATGTCTCTCAAGTCCTAAATACACGGTGAGTGGTCTGGCTGCCCCCTAAACATGGCTAACATTGGCCCACTCTTCCTGGAAATGTAGGGATGCAAGGGAGGGCCTTACTTCTAATAGGGAAGGAAGTTTTGGCCTCTTGGTGTCCAGATGTATCAACTAGATAGTAGAAATGGCTGTTCATCCTTCCCTCTTCCAAAGACATCAAGTAACAGAGTTGGGCCATAGGCATCCATTCAAAGGCTTCACAGTTTGAGAAAGACAGGAGTAATTAGGAGGCACTTCAGAGCACAGCTGTCATGACAAGATCTGAGTAAATGCATAGGAAAATGGGTGGGGGTAGGTGCGTGGATTTGGAGTGATTTAAACCTGACAACAGAAGCCTGAATAAATTGTTACAAGAAGTGTATTTTAGACATTTGTAGGGTGTTTATATAGAGCACACCTTCTAAACCATCCCCTGCCCACTCCCACATTGGCAAGGCACTGTAAGATCACTTTTACTTGGTCCACAAAAGTGATCAGGATGGGGACTGGCACTGTGGCATAGCAGGTAAAGCCAAAGCATGCAGTGCCAGCATCCCATATGAGCATCGGTTTGAATCCCAGTTGCTCTTCTTCTGATCCAGCTCTCTGCTATGGCCTGGGAAAGGAGTGGAGGATGGCCCAAGTCCTTGGGCCCCTGCACCTGCACCTGCATGGGAGGCCTTGAGGGGCCTCTTGGCTCCTGGCTTCGGATTGCCCCAGCTCCAGCTGTGGCAGCCATTTGGGGAGTGAAATGGCTGATGGAAGACTTCTCTCTCTGCCTCTGCCTCTCTGTAACTTTGCCTTTCAAATAAATAAATAAATCTTAAAAAATGAAAAAAAAGTAATCAGGACAGTCTGCAAAGATTAGATTCTGTTCCAATAACCTGACTCTCCTAAGTCCCAGTCTGCCACCAAGGACTGAGGGGATCAATTGTTTAGCGCACTGTTACCCTTCCTTGGTTTGAAGGAGTCACACATCTATTGATCTTGAGGCCCAGCTTATCTGTACTTTAGAGTTAGAAGTGGCCTTAAAACAACAAATTGAAGCTTAAAATAAAGTTTGAAAAGATTTTAGTTTTAAAAATTCTGGGTTGATTAGTCAAAGGATTATTTGTATATAGAGCATGTCTCAAAAGTCTTCATTCAGGGCTGGTGCTGTGGTGTAGTAGGTTAAGCCTTCGCCTGTGGCGCCAGCATCCCACATGGGTGCTGGTTTGTGTCCCAGCTGCTCCTCCTCCCATCCAGCTCTCTGCTAATGGCCTGGGAAATCAGTGAAAGATGGCCCAAGTGCTTGGTCCCCTGCACCCACATAGGAGACCTAGAAGAAGCCCCCTACTCCTGGATTTCAATAGACCCAGCTCTGGCTGTTGTGTCCATGTGGTGAGTTAACCAGTGGGTAAAAGACCCCTCTCTGTCTCTTCCTTTCTCTCTGTAACTCTGCCTCTGAAGCAAATATATAAATAAATGTCTTCATACAGTTTAAGCTATACTAACCAGAAAAATAAGTGCTAAATATAGCCCAACATTGCTTGAAGTCATTATATATATTTATTTTACACTTATGTGTTTTGTGCCTGTTGAATTATGAGCCCCTCTGAAGACAGTAAAGGCTGAAACAAACAAAATAGTACTTAGCATTCATAAGACTAAACAAGTATAATGAACCTAAATTTTGAATCTGGGTTGGTGTAAGGCAAAAGCAGTATAGCAGGTGGATTCGGTGATATATGTGATCTTAAGAGTATACATGTCTGGGTACAAGCAAAAATTCAGACTTTCAAGGCTGTGGAATTGGTGAGCTTTAAGTCAAGGGCACCTAATAGTAAAATGGACTCAGGTCACATGTGAATTATAGATAGAAATTTGACATGGATAGGGGAAAGCATGGAGTTTGAAGATAGAGTGAAAGGGCTGGGCAAGCAGATCTACTGGGCTCTAGGAAGGGGCGGGGCTGTGGGCACATCATGATGTCATCCTCTCTAGTCTCAGACTCCCTTTGTGACTCATGATCTGTGATGCAGAGCTGGAACTATATAGTCAAGGGCTTGAACCCTCAACCTTCAGTTGCCTCTCAGCAGCATTGCGATTCAGATAATGGAGTACGTCCTCTCATTTCTGAAGAGCCATTCTGAGCTGTGGCTGAGCTTCAGCTCGATTTTTATTGATAGCAGCCTCAACTACACTCTTATTAGTGGGTTGCGGTTGATCTTTTTGTACCTGAGCTACCTGGTATTAAAGCTATTTTTCACAACCATCTGGAAAAAGAAGACCACCGAAAAGGTAAGGAACTATGGGTGAACTCCAAGAAGGATTTGATGTTGCTGTTGTTTCCCATTTCTGTTCTCTCATATCTAAACGAGTTTGGTTTCCTCAGAGAGAAGCCAGAGATGGGAAGTCTGAGGAAGGAGAGAGCACCACCTTCCTAGGGGCAGAGGCTAGGCAGGGATGGGTTTGGGGGGAACAAAGGCTTACAAGTGAAGCTCACAGACCACCTGTCTGGTATGGTGGAGGGTTCTAGGATAAAATCCAACACTCTGCTGCAGTCCTGTTATGGCTTCACTAGAGAATTTGGCTTCTCTGACGGAGGTCATTCCTCCTCACACTTGACCATGAGTCTCATTCCCATGTCAGGTGTCCCTCCATCAAGCCTTCCTTTCTGTTGAGCTGAGCAGGAGAGCAATGCTAAGTGTCTGATAGAGGCTGGAGCCCGAGTTCTGTCCCCGAAGTACATGTTTATCTGAGGGATTACAGATGGAACAGTTGGACTCAATTCTGTGCCTTTTTGAGCATGGACATTTCACTGAAACTCTGCATCCCATGGACAAAATTTTATTTTTAAAGAAGGAAAAAATAAAAATATTGGATCACCTGTAAATATTAGTAATGTAAGTAATACACGTTTATAATTTAAAATGAAGAGACATTTGGGGTGGTAAAAAGAGGAAGAGAAGTGAAACTAGTCCCTCATTTTTTACTTTTTGTTCTCAGTGTCGGGGTAGAGCCAAGAGGCGGCGGAAAGGTGGAACATTTAGAGGTAAGATTCTCTGTGTTCACATTGATCTTTGCAAGGGTGATCCTTCCTGTTTTAGATCCAGGGCCTCTGAGAATGTCAGTTGCTATATACAGTCTGTCTGCGAAAACAGAATACTCAGAGGAGAAACAGGTACTGCCCAAAATGTGATGAGGTGAGAAATAAGTATGGACTACTAGTGTCTTGTAGTCAGAACTTCAGTCTCCTGTCTGTATAGATGCCCTTTGACTTCTCGGGTACTCACATTCTTCACTGAGTACTTTATAAATATTGCCACATACACATGTGAGTGTTATTAATATTATCATTGACAATCTTTCCATAACTACTGATTCTTGGAGCATTCAGAATTTAGTATCCCCAGGGGCTCTCATAGAGGGATTCCTATATGATTCTTATTGCTTCTACTTTCATTACATATGTTCTACTCTCCTGATTTCCCAGGTTCAAGGATTAACCAGAAAGAAGCAGAGGAGGGATGGAAGCTTCTTTCTGTTTTGAAAAGGTGATTAACCTTTCCTCTTTTTTCCTGGTCCTTTTTTTTAAAATATGTTCCATATATTCCAGGGAATCAGTGAAGCCTGCCATTATGATGTGAGGCAGGTAGCCATAGGAACGGAATGTGATAAAAGCCTCAGGGAGGGGCTACAGAGTTAGTGTGACATCAAAAATGTGAGGTGATGGGAACAGTAGGCTTGGGCTATCCCTATCCCCACTAGGCCGGCAGACCCTCCTTTCCATGTTCTGGTCTTGACCACAGCCTTTTCTTCCTGTTTCCTGTAGACCCCAGAGCCAACATCAAGATATCACCAGCTTCCGTCACCTGCTGTGTCCAGACCCTCACTGTACGGTGTGTAACAGAGTGGCTGCCAAAGTCAGTCGACTGCTGTCGCTGGGGAAACTGATAGATGATACTTCCTCTGTGCATTATATGGCTTCCTCAGCTTCTGTGATTAAGACCTCATTGACTGTGACATCTGGCCACTCAAAAACTCATCCAAGAGGCCAAAAGTCAGCCTCTTTGCATGTGCCATCTCCACCTCCCCCTTCTACTGTCTCACTTAACCATGTTGCTTCTTTACCTGATTTACTGTCCCCCGACCCACCAGCTGACTCAGTACCATCAGAGCCTATTCCTCCCTTGGCTTCAAAACTCCCAGTGGACCCTTTCCCACCCCAACCTGTTGCTCTTTGCCCTCCCACACTACATCAATCTCAGAGATCAGATCATGATCTGCATCCAGAGATTGCTCTGTCTGTAATGAATAGCCCTGATGGGTTGTCAACTGATATTCCAACAGTCAGTGAAATTGACCATTCAATGCCAGAATCATCCTGGCAGCAGGACGAGGTCAAGGATGCCAAAGACTTGTCCTCTTCCAATGTAGAACAAGATAGTATCAAGCATGAGCTTGTTGATGGCCAATCTTCTGAGACCTCTTGCACAGAATGTGCATCCAACTTTGTAGAACCCACTAACTGCTTGTTACTCAGCCATGACAATCTGGCACTCTTGGAGAAACAAGTAAGAAAGAGGGGTGACTTCCTGATCCAGAAAGAAAGGGAAAATAAAATGCAACCATTTCTAAAACAACTTAGTTCAGACCACCAACTGAATACTTCAGAGTCAAGTGCTGATAGACATGAGTCAGCAGTCAGTCCAGACCACCAACTGTATATATCAGAGCCAATGGTAGAGTCAGATGCTGATAAGCATGACTCAGCAGTCTCTCTTTATTTTGGAAACAGCAAAGGCAAACCAGAGGAGCTGCAGATGAACCAGCAATACTTTTGGGGTCTTCCGTCTTTGCACAGTGAGTCCTTGTGCTCAATTATCCGTCATTCAGATGACTGTCTCTCTACTTTGGTCATCTTTAATGGAATCTCCAAAGCTTCCACATCTCAAGGATCTTTAGGACTTTCCAATTTCCAACCTCTGATCTTGCCTGAGATCCAAACTCAATCCTCAACTAAAACTGTCTCCCAATCACAGTCACAACATGCTACTCCTGCACAGTCTCAGTCCAACCTTCAATCTCCAATCTCAATGTTACCAACATCTCCCGATTTCCAGCTTAGGATCTGTGGAGTGTGCTTCCATAGACCTCATAATGAGGCACAGTGTCTCATGCAATCTGACCTTCATCAGCTAGAATACAATGTGCTACAGAAAAAACAGGAATGTTTGTGGGGTTTACCCTCTGTGGTCAAAACATCTCGGGAATACCTTTGTCCTCCCCCTCCCAATGTTTCATTGGTGAGCCAGTCCTCCAAAATCCATGTTCCAATCTCCATCATTCCTGGAGATTACCCTCTGAGCAGTGAGCTTCGTAAGAAATTTGAGTACCACCTTAGAAAGAGACTCATTCAACACCGATGGGGCCTACCCCGCAGGGTCAATGAGTCTCTGACACTGATTAATCCTGAGAGAGATGTTCCTAAAATACATGCATCAAAGAGTCTTCACAGACTCAAATGGATATCTTTGTTGAAGGAACAGAGTAGCAACAATTTAAGGAATTCTGAATCGAGCCAACTTCCAATCTCCGATGAGACAAGCTCAGAAGAGTTTCAGTCAGATAACGAAGAGAAGGACCATCAGAGACACAGCCCAAAGAATGGCCCTAGTGATCATCTATTGAGTGACCCAGAAGGATACTCAGATAACAGTTTAGGGTCTGACTCTGAGAAAGATCAAGGAAGTCATACAGTGAGTCTGTATGGCAATGATTCAAGGGCCTCAGGGATAAGTATAAATCAGAAACAACTAGAAAATGCACTCAAAGAACATTTAAATAAGAAAAGTGAAGAAATAAAAGAGGGTAGACTTCCTGAGACTGTTCATAGTTCATGGCATGCCCTTAAGCAGACAATATCTTTTGCTGAGAAATCTCACAGTGAAAAACAGATAGATGGGGCATCATCTGTGAGAAACTTTAACTTGAACACTTCCCAGGAGATTTATTTCTTGGCTTCTGGCAAACTAAAGATGCTGGAAGACCATATAAGCAGTTTCTACATAAGGATGAAGTATGGCCTTCCCACCAGGGTCCTTGAATCCATACAGATCTTCAGCAAGAGAGAGGACTCATCTTCTTCCTTAGGCCATTCCTGTTGTTCCTCCCAAGATCGCCTTAGTTCTGGGATGCATTCCAAAGTTATGGTATCCAGGTCACTCGGTAGGAGCTCTACAGCTTTGTGTAGAGACAAATTGAAGATGAGAAAGTCAGCACCCAATCTGGATCATCTCCTTCCTGCTGAATCACCTGTTGGGAAGGGAGGACAGGGGGACCTGAGACCACTGTCCCCAAAGGGAAAACAGGAGCTTTATGGCAGACAGAGTTGTCCGTGCATCACAGACAAAAAAATTAAGAAAGAGACTGGACCAGACAATAGACACAGCCCAGTGCTGGTGTCCACAAGTCATGATGGGACTGGACCTGAGCCAAAGGATAAGAGAGTGAGTTCCAGCAACAAAGAAAGGCTTCAGGCTCCCAAAGTAAAGACTTCAGAATACTTCCCAAGGTTTAACAAGTCTAGAGAGATATTTAAGGCAAAGGAGCTCCTTGCTCTTCGATCAAAATCTGCCAATGCTTTGACAACCAGCAAGTCAGGGGACTCTGCAGCAGTAGATGAGAAAACAAAGAAAGAAAAAACTACCCTGGCTACTGAAATTCCCTCACCAACATCAGTTTCCCAGGATCCTAAACTATCAGACTTTAGAAAGCACTTGCTGAGTGAATTAAAGTCGAAATTGGAGAACAGGGATCATAGCCCTGTTCAAGGCCAGTTCACAGATACGGCTGATGCCTCAGATAACTTGATTTCCAAAACCTTGCTGACTAGTGCCCAGGGTGTCTGCAATGGGAACATGGCAGGTTCTCAGGTTATGCATGCACATTTGGACAACACACCAGTCAGCATGGAACAGCATCAGGAGCCCTGGGTCCCTAAGCATATCTTGCAGAACTGCTGGGATAAGAATGTCCCTCCAAATTCAAAGAGACTGCATCATTTGCGACCAAAAACAGGAGAGCTTGGTGAAGGGGATGCAGGGTTGGGGACACCACAACCCAGTAGGAAGAGCTGCCCTGGTCAAGACAGGGCATTAAAGAAGATGCTTGGAAGCATATCTTCCCCGACCTCGTCACTGAAGGATCAGCCTCCTCCTGAAAATCTGTTCCAAAAACAGATAAAAAAATGTTTGCAATGGATTTGTCTTAGCAGCACAAACAAAGGGCAAGAAAGTTTCCTTGGAAAGGGGACTTCCCCACCATCATCTGTGCAGAGCCAAAGCAAAGTTAATAGTAGAGCTGCCTCTACTGGCAACACCAAAACTCTGCAAGTGAAGACACACATTGGCAAGGTGTTAGATGTGAAACCAGGGAGTAGCCATGGTGTCACAATCACCTGCCCCCAAGAATCACGTTTCTCTCCGACAAAGCCTGTGAAAACTCTTAAGGCACAATTGCAGGCCCAGGCAGATACTGTCCAGGGACATCCTTTTAACTATAAAGCTTCTTCCTGTAATGTGAAAAGTACCAAGGCATGTAGCCAAAAAGCACCCTTGGCTGACCAAAATTACCCATTGAAGAATGTACTGACCACAGACAGGGTGAGACGGTCCCAGAAAGTCGTGGCATTCAAGGATCAGCCACTATCGCAGAGGCATCTGGCATCCATGCCCAACAAAGAGTTCCTGCCCCATCCAAACCATACCTGCAGGCGTCTAGCCAGCCAGGTGTCTCAAACCACACCTACATTTTCTGAAGGCACTGTATTGGGAGATCTGTCTCTACTCTTCAAACATAAAATGCTCCTGCAGCATTTCCAGGGAGGAAGATTTCCTTTTCCCAAATAGTTTATCCCTTGTTGAACACACTGATTTTCCACAATAAATATTCTAAAGATTGTTGTCTTTTATGTGTACTATTTTGGAGACATGGGATTTGTGTAACATAGGGTTTATACTTAGGGAAAAGAATTAGTTCAGCACTTACTCATCATCTCTTTTGGATTTAAATGACAGCCCACTGGAGCTCTAGGGGGATGGTTATCAAGTGCCCCTTAAGGCCCTCCCATCCCCGGAGAAGTCTGAGGACATGTGCTCTGTTTCCTAGTCTGTACGATATTGTGTGGCAACCCATATACCCTCCCCCTCACTGACTATTTCTTGGCTTCTAGAGGAATAAGGGAGGTAAGTCATCATATCTGAAGAGGGTCAAAGTCACATATCTTTTTCAGAAAATTGTGCTTAATCTTATTTTTTTAAAGAAAATATTGTCAATGACTAGAGCATGACACAGATGGGTGAACTTTGCCTCAGACATGGTTGAAGATTACTGCCATAGTAGACATGGGACTGATTGGGTTAAGGTCTAGGAACATTAGAACTGTTGGTTGAGAATCTGTCATGAAAGGCATAGTAATGCATTGGTAATCCATACTTTGGGGCAATGATGTTTTCCTACTGGAAAATAAGCTTATGCCACCCATGTGGGAGACCCAGATGGAGATTTGGACTCGTAGCTTTTGTCTTGCCTAGCCCCAGCCATGACAGCTATTTGGAGTTTGAGCCAGAAGATGGGTGATATGTCTCTGTCTCTCTTTCATTCTGTAACTCTGTCTTTATTTTTAAAAGATTTGTTCTTTTTTTTTTTTTTGAAATTCAGAGCTACAGGGGGAGAGGGAGGGAGGGAGGGAGAGAATCTTCCATGTGCTGGCTAACTCCCCAGATGGCCCCAACAGCTAGTGTGAGACCAGGCTGAAGTGAAGAGCCAGGAGCTTCATCCATGTCTCTCAGATGGATGGCAGGGTCCAAACACCATCCTCCACTGCTTTTCCAGGCTATTAGCAGGGAGTTGTATTGGAAGTAGAATAGCCAGGACATGAATTGGCACCCAATATGGGATGCCCGCACTTTACCTGCTATTGCTACAACACCAGCCCCACACTCTGCCTTTCAAATAAATAAATGTTAAACAAAACATTGGACAATTTCCTGGAAGGCACTTAAGGTAGTTTTTACAGTAAAAAGTTGGAAATTCTGGGTGTCAAAATAAAAAAAAAAAACATATTCACTGCAGCCCCCTCACTCTACCATACTTCTATCTTCTTATCCGGAGTTATGCCATTTAACTTGCATTGTCTGGAGCTTAACATTGCAGAATCAATGAAGATTCTGTGGAGGTCCTGGGATGGAAAAATTTGGGGGATGTGGCCCAGGGCAAGGAACTGCAAGCCGTGGAGATCAGTGGAGGAACTAATATCCCTGTGAATTGACAAACCAATAACATGGAGACCTCTACTCTCCCATCTAGAGTCTTACTCCAGTTAAGATACTGCCACACCCCAGAGTTTACCACTGGGAATGTCTTTGCCATATGAAGTATTATAGTCTGACCCTTTGACCTCAACCCTCTAACTTTGCAGCATATACTGTATATTTGTCAACTTTTGAACTCTGGGTCATAATTTTTCCACTTATTCATCTACCCAATAGCCTCATGTCTGCATTTCCTTCCTCTTTAAGCAGATTTTATTGTCTTCAAGATAATATTTAAAAGTCTCCACTACAAACGACTCTCATCCAAACCACTTTAATCTTTCCTGTCTGGCATTATCCCATTTCTCTGGCTTTTCCAGAAATGCATACCTATAAGTGACTAATAACTATTGTATTAACTTTATGATCAACTCTACTGATTCTAGGGGCAGCTCCAGCACTGCCTGGAAATAATTCATTCATTTCACAAATCATTATCCTATCCTATGTAACAGTGAACAAATAAAACAGAACTTAAGTCACCGATTCCCTAGTTCATGCTCTCTTCCATTCTACTCAAAACCATTTGAGATCTCCTACACTTTGCTGAAACTTATGCTCTCTCTCCTTGGTCAGCACATGTGTTGGACTCACCATTTACAGAGTAACTAGAAGCTACCTCATAGAAGTCTTCATCAAAAAACTTTCTCCCTCCCTCCCTCCTTTTGTCCCTCCCTTCTCACAGAAAAAAATCACTCTCCTTCCACAGTATTCAACTACAAAGGAATTAGACTTCTAGAAATGTCTTTATTGACAGATAACTAAGCTCTGGTCTTGATGGATTGACTTATGCATGCCAGAAATCCTTACTGCCTCCTTCCTCTCTTCATGAGGCACTCAATATCTTTTTCTTAAAGCTTTTCATCACAAAGATGTTTAAACACACACAAGATCAAGTAGAATAATGTGATTCTCTATGTACCTACTCTACAACTTTCAGTCACCATTTGGTAAGTGTGATGTCCTCCATCATTACACTATGATTAAAGTGTAAAGTCAATTTAAACATTGTTCATTCATCTCTTAGAAGGTATGTTATTTGCCTTATGCAAATGCCCTCAACATTTGTTTGATATTTAGTACATGAGGAACATATTTAACCACAACAAATGTAAACACCATTGGTGATTAAACCACATTGAGCTTTGTAGCTTTTGGCAATCAGTTCTGCTCTGCCTTCTAGTTAATCCTGAGAAGTCATTAGAAGGTATTCCTACCCCTACTCCATACAGAAAGTAATCTTACAGAACTAATTCAGTGCACAGTATTACAGTTCCTTAACCACACAGACAACATAACATTAAAAGGAACTGAAGTAGGAAACAGTACAGGTGGACAAAACCCTGAGATTGCTATGCAAATGTTTTCAAATATTTAGAAGAAATTTTTTCCTTTTACAAATTTAAAATGTTATTTTGCTTCGTAATACTTAGTAGATCAACTATACTAATAGTTCATGTCCTTCCTAAAATGCTACTGAAAGAATTATAACAGAAGCTCCTTGACTCCATTACTCATAAAGGAAGTAGAAAACCACTATGAAATGCCACTTCACACCTACTAGAATGATCACAATCGAAAAACCAGATAACAGGAGTAGGCATTTGGCACAATGAGTTGCACTTCTTGGGATGCTACCATCCCACATCCAAGTGCTTGGTTTGAATCTGGCTCTTCCACCTCTTTATTTTTTTTAAAACAAATATGTGTTTCTTATGGCTTCTTTTTTTAAAGATTTATTTTATTTATTTGAGTTACAGAGAGGCAGAGATCAAGAGAGAGGTCCTCCATCTACTGGTTCACTCCTCAGATGGCCACAATGACTGGAGCTGCACACATCCAAAGCCAGGGGCCAGGAGACTCTTCCAGGTCTCCATGTAGGTGCAGGGGCCAAGGACGTGGGCCATCTTCCACTGCCTTCCAAGACCACAGCAGAGAGCTGGATAGGAAGAAGAGCAGCAGGGACAAGAACCAGTATACATATGGGATGCTGGCGCCCCAGGCCAGGGCTTTAACCCGCTGCGCCACAGTGCCAGCCCCTCTTCTTCCTCTTATCTAACTTCCTGCTAATGTGAACTCTGGGAGGCAGCAGGCAATGACTCAAGTACTTGGGTCCCTACCACTCACTTCAGTGATCTGGATGGAATTCCAGTCTCTCAGCTTTGGCTTGGCCCATTGTTATGGGCATTTGGGCAGTGAACCTGTAGATGGGAGATCTCTCCCCATCTGTTTCTCTGTTTCTGTTTGTTTGTCTGTCTCTCTGTCTTTCAAATAAAATGAAAACAAATAAATAATAACTGGAAAAAAAACAGATAATAAGGTTTGAGAAAATGTAGAGAGATACAAAGTCTTACATACTGTTAAAGAGAATAAAAACGGTGTGTTTTGGAAAACAGTTTGACAGTTCCTTAAAATAGTAAACACAGAGTTGCCATTTAAGCCAGCAATTTTTCTCCTAGGCATTATACACAAGATAAATTAAAAATTATGCACACAGAAATGGCACATAAATATTCACAGCAACAGCATTCATAGCAGCCAAAATGTGGAAACCACACAAATATCCCTCAATTGATGAATGGATAAGCAAAGTGTGGCACATACTTACAATGAAATACAATTCAGCCATAAAAAGGAAACACTGATGAATGCTACAACAAGAATGAACCTTGAAGTCCTTGGGCCTCTGCGTGCACACGGGAGACCCGGAAGAATCTCCTGGTTCCTGGCTTCAGATTGGTATAGCTCTGGTCATTGTGGCCATTTGGGGAGTGAAGACTTCTCTCTCTCTGCCTCTGCCTCTCTGTAACTCTCCACCTGTCAAATTAATTAATTAAAAAAAAAGTCAAGGCAGAATAAAAATGTGTTGGGAAGGAGAGGGAATTTGGAAGAAGGACGGAGTAGCAGAGCAGGTTTTGTGGAGGGAACAAGATTTGAGAGCATTCAGGAACAGAATAGCTTCAAAGGGATTCTATGAGAAAGAATACTAAAAGATGTTTAAATTGTTGCCATGGGTAGATAGGTCATGCCCTCATCTTCCTCTTTGTTCAGCTTTATGCACTTTGGTACAGGCTACTCTGTTTTTTAGTAATGGTCTTTAGCAAACATGAATCCTTTTGAGGAAATAGGGGGAGTGCACTGTTGCTGAGTCTATTTCTGATTCTGTAGAGTTAAAAATACATTGTATATATAGAAAGGCTTATTTGAGAACAGAGTAGATGTTGAGGGTAAAAATCCCTGGGCATATTAGACTTTTTGTTCAAAACTTACATGGGGTCTGAGTTAATGCCTAGGTAACAATATGGTATAATGGAAAGATATGGTTGGAAGGTAGTGTGGAGGGATCTAAAGAACCCCAGGAGGATGAACAGATAATCTAGTGTGTAGGGGGATAGGACTGGGAATTCATCTCCCCCATGTTGTTCCTTCTCCCAAACTCTTGAACTTCTAGTACCTATGCTAAAGCTTTGTGATGTGGGCCTGGAAATCTGATCTAGAAGGTATACTCTTAGTGTCCAGTTTCTGATCATGTGGGCCATGTTCTTTGTCAGAAGGGCTTTTCTTAAACATGGCTGGGATACAGCTT